TCTTCTCCCTGATTATTTCTAGAACAAGATGCCTCCCCGACCAAGACCCATCAGAAGGAACGACAACACTCCGCCCCGGAACGTTTCCGCCATCAGGTTTCAGGGTGTGACAACCCACCTCCATAAACTTCAATAATCGACATCCCCTGTTGTTGTTTACTACATCAGCAAAAAAATCAAAAAAGAAAAAGAAAAGAAGCCATGTTCTTGTTTCACTGCATATCGATCAAGGAGAAGGATATACATATCGGTTAGAGTTAAAATTGAGCAAACTTTCAACTCAGCCCTAGCCGCTGCCTCTCAAATCCACCAGAAATCTATTCAACAAAAAATCAATTCAAGACACACATACACACATGTTCTTGAGGTGAAGCAGGTGATGGTTTCGGGATGAGATGGTGATGGTTTGAGTGTTACAATGTTGATGATTATGTCAGGACGAGGGATAATGAACACATGTTCTTGAGGTGAAGCAGGTCAAATCTGTTCTCCCAAACTCCTCAACCCATCACGCAACGATCAAAAACGCCATCCACAACGGAGCTCTGAACTCGATTCGTTTATCCTCTGTCTCCTTCGTCAGTAAAATCGGAGGCGTTAGGGCGGGATCGAGAATCGCGTGGATGAATTCACGTTAAGTTTTGAATCATAAGAAACATACTGCCAAACCCTCCACGATCTGATGACACAAATTGATGAAAATTTAGAACTTTTGTTCTTACCTCTTGAATCCACGACCTGGAAGATCGTGGATGCGGGATTTGGAATGGGGATCGTCATTAAGAGAGAGAGAGAGAGAGAGAGATTTTCTTTTTGTTTTGTTTTTAATTATTTTTTAATTGTTGGTAATAAAACAAAAATGAAAAATTAAATAATAAGGGGTAAAATCGTCTTTACAAAAAAGTTCAAACCAAATTGGACCAAACTCGCAACAAAACGAAACTATTGGACCATCCTTGCGAGCCAAACTCATTTTGGACCAAACTTGCTAGTTTTGACATACCACGGGACCATTCTTGCAATTTTGTCTAAATAATAAAAAACAACAAATTAAATAGGAGAGTTTTATAAAATATTTTATTAAATAAAGATAAATTATTTAATTTTATAAAAGGATTATAAGTGATGAATATCAATGATATCGAATACAAGATTATAAAACAAAAAACTATAATAGAAGAAGATGTTCAAAAATATAAAAGTTAGTTGATAATTTATACTATTTAAAGAAGTAAATATTGTTTAATATGAAAAATTGCATGGGAAGATCGGATTCCCCTCGTGGATTTCGGGTCGGAATATTAGATGACCGAAGAAATCACGTCTCTCGATGCTTAGACAAATTCGTTTCTTTCTAAATTTCTCTTTTTTCACACACACAAAAGCCCTAAAATCTTGATCTGCAAATCTCCGAATTTAATAAGTGCAAGAATTTGCGAAGAACTGTTTGGGGAAGTCACGATGGCTGTTTAAACTTTCTTCCACCTCAAATCCACTTCATAAGCTTTGGTTTATGATTCAATCAGACGATGTTTATGAACCGCCATCATCATCGCAAGCACCGACTTTGTGGAATAAAAGGGCATTTGATCGATTGAAGATTGAATTTGATCGTGTTACTGAAGATATTGCTTTTGTGTTCGAGGGATTCCATCTATGATTGTTGTGGAATTAGGGTTTCATTATCATTCTGCTGGATGCATCGTCGTTCTGTATAGATGCTTGTTGGAAGGGATCTAGGGCTCCCAAACCTGGTGGTCCTGGTAGCGGTATTCGTGATTTTTCCGGTGATCGGCTTTGTTATCCGCAGAAAATTTCAACACGCGACGGCGAGGAACGAAGAGATTAAGAAGCTTCTGATTTTGGCATCGGAAGAGGCAGCTAGGGCTGAGATTGAGGCTACAGAGGGATACTTTTTCACCGCCAACACTCGTTCTTCGATTCGGTCCCCGGATTCAGCCTGGGTACCGGCTCCGGAATCGGCCTGGGTACCAGCTCCGGAATCGGCCTGGGTACCGCCGAAGACATCGGTTCCAATCGTCTCATCGTTGAAGCCGCCATATCAATGTGCTGTTTGCTTCTCTCCCACCAGCACGCGCTGCGCCAAGTGCAAAGCTGTTCGTTACTGGTAAGCTTAAATCCTGAACCCTAGAGTGTAAAACGTATGACTTTCTTTCTTGATCTGAATGATGCTTCTATCATCTGAGATTATATACTGCAGAACCCTCTAGATATGACATAGATAAACTCTTAGACGAAGATACGTGAGGAAAAGAATTCCTTAAATTGATTCAAGCAGGTAATTTAGTTAAAATAGATAAATTGGCATTTGAGTTATCCTTTAAGAGGGGCACAATTAGATGTAGAAACTAAAAATAATTTTTTTGTTCGAGTTGGTGCATAAACTAACAGAGAAATGCAGACCAACCAGAAAGAAAAAGAAATTGCTAGCTTGATTTGTTAACCTTGTGAACTCATCATAAAGGTATGACATGTCAAAATATTTAAAACTAACCACATATTGCCATGCTCCAACAGATGATAAAATGTATGAAAATAGACTTTCTTATTAACAAAAAAACTATGCTTGTATAGTTGTTTAGGAGTTCTAGTAAATGTTAACAAGGACATTGTTGTTGCTTTCCTAACATGATTACCTTATGTGTAGATTGACAAACACATCTTTCCACATGCATAATGCCCACACATACTCATATGCACAATCTTTGTAACTTATGAGATCTCCTTGGAACATTTGTTGATAAAAAACATCGATTTTGGTGCTTAATACAAATCTTTATCATTTGTTTTTGCCTCTTAGCATTTACCTTTCTTATTTTCTTCTGAACGAAATCATAGTCTGTTCTCATATTGGAGAAACTTTCTATAGGAAGTTCAGAAGTAGAGTTGTACATATATGAAAGTAGGTTGATCCATTCACTTACTAAAAGTCTAAAAGATGTTAAAGAGGCCCATTAATGCATATATCATAAATAATTCAATTTAACTGCAGCTCTGGGAGATGCCAAATTGTTCACTGGAGACAAGGTCACAAGGATGAATGCAAACCTTATGTGGCTGTGAAACCTACCAAAGATGTGTCAGACATCTCGATTAACAAAGAAGATGATAAAGATTCCAATAACCACTCACCAAATGCAAATCTTCATGAAGATTCACATCAACCTGAAACCAATTCTTTCTTCCAATCAACATCTGAATCATCAACTTCTGAATCTTCTACTTTCTCTACCCCTACCAGATCATCCACCGAAACCTTTTCAGTCAGTTCATTGGATTCTGATAACTTTGTTTCAGTAAAATCAGAGGTCAGTCCTTCAAGAAAATCTACCGATTCAAACAAAATCAATCAGACCAAATTCAACCTCAGCAATGAAGATACAACCTCTTCTGATTTTTGGAGTGGCCCAATCCATTCCAAGAAATCCACCATTGATCATGAGCTTGATGGGTTTGAAACATCTGGTTATAATAGTGTGAAAGGTGTCACTGTGAATTCAACAGGTAACCACACTCCAAATGGCTTTGGAACTAAAAAGTCAACCAATGAAACCTCTTCATCAAATGAAATGTTAACAACAAGGTCACCATTGAAGATATCTCCATCTGTTGAGCATTCAACAGATAAAGAGTCCAAAACATTTGGTAGCATGCAGATTCCCGAGAGGTCAAAGTCAAAGTCAAACTCAAATGATGTATTCAACAATAAGAGCTTTACTCCACCTGCATTCAAATCATCCAAAGCTTCTGCTACTCATTTAACATCATCTACCACAACCAACAGACTTGTATCTCAAACTACAAAGCCTGTAGTTGTTCATGATGAGAAAAATAGGGTTGCTACTGCTACTGCTAATTCATCTGAAAGTGAAACTGTTCGAAGTGGATTGAAGACATCAATGTTGAAAGTTGTTGACCAGTTTAAGCCCTCTAAGTTGACTCGCCAATGTTCACCAAGGGCAGAAAGTGAAACTGCACATAGATACAGTTGCAAGGTCTTGATTAGAACTTATTCTATTTTTTTTTTTTTTTTTTTTTTTTTATCTTGAAGTCAATAAATTTCATAATCTGATACTTGAAATTGATTTTCAAACAGGGTCTCTTCTCGTATGAAATGTTTGTCAAGCTTTACAACTGGAAACAAGTTGAATTGCGCCCTTTTGGCCTTGTAAATTGTGGAAACAGGTAGATCTCATCACTTTGGCCTTCAAAAGACGTTAATACCCTCATCCTCATCATTGTAAATACTAATTTGATATTCATGTTTAAACATTCTGCAGCTGTTATGCTAATGCTGTGCTCCAGTGTTTGACATACACACCACCATTGAATGCGTATCTTCTTCAAGGACTCCATTCGAAAACATGTATGTTGTTATTTGTTATTTGTTATTGTTAGGTTAACTTTCTTTTCTGAAATATAAATATCTCCTATTTTGACTTTTTGGTTTGACTTCATGTATGTTAGGTAATAAGAGAGAGTGGTGCTTCACATGTGAGTTTGAAGCCCTAGTTTTGAAGTCAAAAGGTGGGAATTCTCCACTTTCTCCTATTCGCATTCTAGAAAACATTGGAAGCAATCTTGGCCATGGGAAAGAAGAAGATGCACATGAATTTTTAAGGTGAATTGACTTTAACATTTAAGATTTATGCCATTTCTTGTTTCTTGTCTTTAAATTGTTGTAATAGTCTTAGTGAGTTGAGTTGACTCAGTTGACTCAGTTATCAAATGATGTTATTACAGGTATGCTATTGATACTTTGCAATCCGCATGTCTTAAGGAAGCTGGAATAAAATCTTCCAACTCCTTAGAAGAAGAAACAACTCTAATCGGACTTGCATTTGGTGGTTATCTAAGATCTAAGGTAACAATAGTCTTTTATTAACTACTTCAAATCATCTTTATCTAAAAAAAACACAAGAATCTTCTAATTTCTAAATCTACTGTGGCTTTTGAATTGTAGATAAAGTGCATGAAATGTGGTGGAAAATCAGAGCGACATGAGCGGATGATGGATCTAACCGTTGAAATTGAAGGTGATATAGCAACTCTTGAAGAAGCTTTGGATAAATTTACATGCACTGAAGTACTAGATGGTGAAAACAAGTACAAATGCAGCAGGTTGGTTAATTATTCAATATAATTTCTCACCTTAAAAGTTAAAAACATTTTTTTTTTTTAACTTTTTAACTTTCAGGTGTAAATCCTATGAGAAAGCCAAAAAGAAATTGACATTGTTGGAGGCCCCAAACGTGCTTACCATTGCATTAAAGCGGTTTCAGGTATTTTAAATTTTTTTTTTTTTAAATCAAAGATGTTACAATATGCGAATAAATGAAAGTAAAAAGTAAAAGTACATTGCTATTTGTTTCAGTCTGGTAAATTTGGAAAGCTGAACAAACCAATTCACTTCCCGGAGATTTTAGACATGGCTCCATATGTGAGTGGGACAAGTGACAAGTCACCAGTTTACAGGCTTTATGGAGTTGTGGTTCATGTGGACATAATGAACGCTGCTTTCTCTGGTCATTATGTGTGTTATGTTAAAAACATTCAGAATCGTTGGTTTAAAATTGATGACTCCCGGGTATGTTTATTTATTTATTTTTAATTACCAAAAAAACAAAATAGTGGAATGCTTATGTGTCCCACTTGCTTATGTAGGTAAAAGAGGTTGATCTTCAGAGTGTATTGATGAAAGGAGCATATTTGCTTCTCTATGCGAGGTACTTTTAACGTTTTCTTTATGACTTGTTGACATAATAACGTTTTCTGAAATAATTTGTATTTAAAATATCCAGATGCTCTCCACGTGCTCCACGGATAATCCGAAGCTTATTATCCCGCCACAACACGGATCCGAAAAAACACAAAATTACAACATTCACAAAGGAGCCATGGGACATGAGAAATGATCCTCCGATACGCCACCGCACACTAGAAGAAGAATCATCCTCATCAAGCGACAGTTCCGGAATCTTCTCCGAGTCATGCTCTTGCAGCACCGAAAGCAGCAACCGTGATTCAACCAGTATCGAAGACCACATTAATCCCTGGGAATGGGAACACGAATACAACAACATCAACAACATATCAGATGTCGACACCTCATCATCATCGTCATCATCTTCCTCCCCTTCACCATTGTACTCACGGAAGCTTCCGGGGGTTTTGTATGATGAAGATGTTTGGGGTAGGAGTAGTAATAGTTGTAGGGAGACTAATTTCGATAGATTAGGTGGGCGGCCGACTTTGAGAAGATCAACAACAACTCACGGAAGATCAGAAAAATGAGGGGAGATTGGTTGGTGGAATAAGGATGTTTTTTGGGGGTGGCGGCTTGTGATGGGTCGGGGTTAGGGGGTGGCTGTATGTATTCTAGTACTTTTGATGATGTCGGTGGCTCTGTTAAAACAGTTAAAAGAGTCAGCCTTCAACATTTTGTCACTCTCTTCCCTTGAATATATATAATATATAAAATATTTTGTAACGTGTATGCTGTAAGGAAATTAAAATCGAATCATTTGGTAAAATAGATGCTTGATTACTTGGTTTTAGGGTTGTTTTTCTTTTTCTTTCTAACGGCTTACTTTTTTTACACGCATATTTAGGAGTTAGGACTTAGGAGAGTGGAAATTTGCAAAAATGATCTCTCTTTAATATATAAGTTCACAAAATGGTCCATATTTCATAGAAGAATCATAAAAATGGTCCTGTCTTTCATAAATTTACAGGAATAGTACCTAAATAATCAAGTATTAACAGAAAGGATCCCTGTCTTTTTACAAAGTTACACAAATGGTCCTGTGTAATAGTGAATTTACATAAATTGTGTCTATTTCATAAAAATACTGAAATGGTCCCTATGTATAAAAAAATTGCAAAAACAGGCCCTTCCATATACCAAAGCTACAAAAATCTTCCATTTTTTTTTCCACAAAATTACAAAAATAGTCGATACCTAACTGTAAAATAATAGAAATGGTCTACAATATTGAAGCCATGACCAACAACTCCTTCGACTGATCAAAAGTTTGCTTGCATTACTTGGAACATTCAAATTCTACATCATTTTGTAAGATTTCATACATAAGACGAGCTATCTTGGATAATTTCTTAATTAACCTTCGGTAAAAACCTGCATGACTAAGAAAAGAACATATCTCGCAAACACAAGTTGGGTAAGGTAAAGACTTAATGATATCGATATTTTTTCTGTCTACTTCTAGACCCTTAGAAGACACGACAATGACCAAATATGATACCTTTATCAACCATAAAATGTCACTTTTCATAATTCAAAACAAAGTTGGTCTTAATACATCTTTTAAAAAATATCTCTAAATTTTCCAAGCATTCTATAAAAGAATTACCATAAACCGTGAATTCACTCATGAATATGTGGATGACTTCCTCAACATACTCTGAAAAAAATATTCACCATGCACCTTTGAAAAGTGGCGGGGGCATTGCAAATCCAAAATGCATCCGCCTATATGCAAATATGCCAATGGGACATGTAAACATAGTTTTCTCTTGGTCCTTGAGTGCAACAAGTATTTGCTAAAAACTAAAATACCCGTCTAAATTATAATATTGATTTTTTCCCACTAAACTTTCCAACATTTGGTCGATAAATGGAAGTGGGGAATGATCTTTTCGGGTTGATGCATCGAGTCATCTATAGTCAATATAATGATGGGGTTTGATACAAAATATAAGTTTGTTTTTCACAAAAACCGCAACAGAAGTCTAATAAAAACAACAAGTTTATTTTTAGATTATAACAAAACAAACCATCAAGGATCTATTTATAGATGTTAGAATGAAATAAAAAAGACCAAAAAGTTTTTAGAAAGACAACCTTTGAAGCCTTTGAACCCACTTGGTTTTGGGGTGTTGATGAAGATAACAAAAATTCAAGAGTAGAATTTCTCTATATGTATTCACCATCAAGAGTAAGACACTTGGAATGCTAGTTCCTTATTGTAATACTTTGTTCTTTAAGTCCTAAGTGCTTAAGCAATTAAGCACTAAAGGAAGACACAAAGTAAGGCTCTAAACACCAACATCTAGCTTCAAAGGGAGAGTGTTGTAGAGGCATAAAACTCACGGTTTTAGAGAGCAAATGGAGAAGAAAAGAAGAGCTAGTTTTGCATGCATAAGACACTCTTATATACTGTCACACCTCCGACTGAGGCGGCGGAACATGTCGGGCTGTGCGACTTAGTTCATGGATCACAAGCAAATTGAATATACATCAAAAGTTACAACAATAACAACACAACAGTTATATGCCACTTTAAGGGAATACATGGTTCATACAAATAATAATAATAAGTTCATGAATTTGCCTTAACCAACAGGTCGATATAACAAAAACTAGAGAAGATTAGATTGCCCGAAATCCATAACTATCTCTTCTGCTAAAATCTGGTTCAATGATCTCTTAATAATACATGACGTTTGAGAGTCAACACAAAGGTTGGTGAGAGTTATAGGTTATCTGCTAACCACAATAATAATACTTTTAAAAAGAGTCAGAAAAGTATTTTATTTGTAGTTAAAACCATGTTTGAAAATGTTTGTTAAAAGGAGAAACCGAATCTATGGTTTCTAGATAAAGAATCCAGTTAATGCATATAGTGATTCCTTTAATCGAGCTATGTAACTAGATATAACCCCTTATGACGCTTCATTTGATGTCGTGGATAAAGACTGAAGATAATTATCACCCGCTTCGATTGATCTGTTGGGGTTGTAGCTAGCAACCTCAGGTGGGGTGTCAACCAATATAGATCTATACATATGTATCTCGCTCCTAGGATTAACGGTTATAGCCGAGAGGGTATACTAAGTAGTTAAACTTAGGTAATGAATAATGTTTCACTATAAAGGCCAATAACTAAGGTATACGATAAAGTTTCACTATAAAAGCCGAGTTATTTTGATATATCCAAAAAAATGTACACTACTCGCTTAAATAGATAGTAAGTTTCTCGAGTGCATATATAAATTACAAGACAAGGAGGAGGAGGGGGGGGGGGGGGGCTAAACTGTTTATTTTAATTCCAAGTTTGGAGGTGGGGCTAGTTTGTAATAACATCACAAGATAAGGGTTAGTTTTAATTAAAATGAAATGGAGTTTTTACTGTGTTTCTTCTCCTGTTTCTTTCAAAGGTCGCAACACGAAGGAGAATATGAGACCCATTTCACGAGGTCTCTTCGATCTCAGCTGATTCATGCCTCAAGAAAGCAATAACAGAAAAGAAAAAAGAAAAAGAATGGTGGGGATTGAAGCTTACATTGGCTGTAGTTATGTGGGGGTGGTGTCGCAAGGTTGGTGGTGGCCGATGGTTTGCTTGTGGTGGTAGCATGTCACGTTTTTTTTTCGGAGAACAAGAGAGGGGAAGAGAGGGGAGTGTTGCAACACTCGGTTTCAGATTGATTCATTATTCGGGGTTGTGGCCCAATCATCAGTTATCATGAGGTTTAGGGCCTTGGGGAAGAAAAGATTTGGCCCTTTTTGGATGTGTGTGCTATAGTTTAAGTGATTTGAGTGTTCGATGGCGTTTCGGAGCCTAATGGTATAATAATAATTTGTTAATTCGGGCCTTTATGAGTTTGGGTTTCTGTTCGGGAAGTCTTAAGGCAAAGGTGAGTTGACAGAAGTGTAGGGCTTCTCGTCACCTATGCATGGATATAAAGTTCGTAGGAAACGGACCTAAGACAAAGGAGTTATGGTTGTTTGAATAATTGGCAGGTATGGCCTTTAATGGAAAAGATTTGCAAGTTGGACCCATGCATGCAAGGAGGAAAGGCACGTATCTGGGTGGGTACGCCCAACGTAAGCTGGGGTATGCCCAACGTAATTGGCAGAGTGTCAAACCATAATTTTAGGTTTTGGGCACTATTTAAACATCCTTATAAGCTCAAGGCTTTCTCATTTCTCAGCCTCCACTGACTTTAGAGCCTTATTCGAACCCTATTTCTCTTGGTGGAGTATTCTTGAGCTTGGAGGTGATTTTGAAAGGTTTTTAGTGTTATTTCAAGGAAGTAAATCTTGGTGATCAAGCTTGGTGTCGCTTTGGTGTTGTAGATCAAGAACCTTCACTCTGTTGGGAAGATTCAGGAGGTATAAAGTTCTAATCTTGACCTCTTTTTATGCTAGTTTGAGTTTAGGGCAAGATTAGGAGCTTTTATAGTGTATTAATGATACATGTGAAATAGTACTAGTTTTAATCCTACTAACTTAGACACAAAAATAAACACACAAAAGGCAGTGTACCTATCGTTTAGCAATATAGTTCAAGCAAGTAGGGTATCGAACACAGGGAACGGTAACAATTAAAATAAATACTAGAATTACCTAAATAAAACAAGTAATAAAGGGGGTTTTCTTTAGTTTTGAAAGAGTAGAAACTTAAGCATTCAAATAACACTCAAACAAAAGACAATTAATTAACTAAAGAAAACAAAAAGACAACTAGATTCAATGATAAAAAAGACTTCTGTTCAGATTCGATTCACTTATTCCTATGGTTGATTTCATGGAAAGTGCAATGGATTAATATATCAATGGCTACCGATTTCTAATGTGATTATGTTCATCTTATCTATTACTAATCCTTTAGCAAACAAGTTAATTCAAACAGTGACCAATTGATTAAACTAACAAGTTTCCTAGTGTTCAGTTCGGATCAAGTAATACTTGTAATATTAGTTAACTAAATTTGTTAATTCAATAAACTCATATGTGGTTGTTCATCACACATGATCACACATTAACTTATTTATTTTCTAGTTAACCCTAGGTTCATATTCACTAATACTAGGCATACAATATTGTTTTCACAAAACTATATGATTCAAGCAATTAAGAAGATCTTCATGCAACTCAATAAACTTGATTATTAACATTTCAATCAAACCATATTTATAAGATTATCTAGTCTAAACAGAAGTAAAAAGCTTTTAGCTCATATCTACAACAGATAGCATCCTAAAATCAAAATCTAATGATTCAAACATGGTTTATACAAAAGATTAAGAAAAGAGTAATGTTTGTCGCCTTTGATCTCTTCTAAATTGACTTCTAGGTTGAATTCTTGAAAACCAAAGCTCCAAAACCCTTCTGATCTTCAATAGTCGCCAAAAAGTCTCCAAAATGTGTTAGGATTTCGGGAATAAACGATTTATATAGAGATTCCAAAATTTCACACCAAATCTTCGAGTTTTTAGACCCAACTCGATGAGTTTTTCACTTAATACGTGTGTACGGCAAGACATTGTTGAATCACGAACCTTCTGACCAACTCGTCGAGTTGATGGCCAACTCGT